AAAAGTCCTTAACTGAGACCCTTAAATGACACTATCTATGTGATAACTTTCCAAAGGATCATCTCTGAAAAGAAATTTGTCCTGTGGAAGCTGCCTGAGCAGTTCACACATGATCTGGAGTCCTGGCTTCTGGTCTTGGCTGTGCCGCTGAGGGGGCCATGTGACCAGGCTGCACTTTTCTGTTTTTACAATGAAGCAGGTGGGTAGCTCGCTTTCCATTGCTCTTGCTCTTCGACAGTTCCCAAGTCCTGTTGCTCAATGGAAGGTGAAGATGGCTTTCTCTTGGCAGGAGTCCCTGCCTCCTGGACAGAAGTTGGGAAATTGGTGAGCACCTGGCAATCTGGCCTGGGCCACAGAATCACAGAGTCGTGCTTCACTGGTAAGAAACCGCAGTGATTATCAAGACCCATGTCTTCCCTTCCTCATTCAACACAAGTTTACAAAGTAGTTGGTATTGAATAGAATGTGGGCAGGGATGGTGGCTGTGGAGTTCATTGATTTATCTGTGGCACCGAGTCCCATGGCTGGCACATAGCTCACATAGCTGGTGCTCATTAAACCTCTGCTGAATGGTGGGTAGTCTTTTTTTTTTTTTTTTAAGAGAGAGTGAGAGAGGAGAATGAGAGAGAGAGAGAGAGAGAGAGAGAGAGAGAGAGAGAGAGAGAGAGAGAGAGAGAATTTTTAATATTTATTTTTTAGTTCTCGGCAGACACAACATCTTTGTTGGTATGTGGTGCTGAGGATCAAACCCGGGCCRCATGCATGCCAGGTGAGCGCGCTACCGCTTGAGCCACATCCCCAGCCCCAAAGGTGGGTAGTCTTTTGCAAAAGAGTCATCTAGAGGTGCCTATTAAGGCTGAACTAGAATCCCATTAGACCCACTGAATTAGAATTTCTGGTGACAGGGCCCAGGTGACTGTCATGCCCTCCAGAGTTGGAGAACCATAGCCATAGTATCTGAATAAAGCATTCTTCTGTTATCAGAAGGGAGAAAATGTTGATGTTTTCACATTCAAGCATTTGCCCGTAGAGACTAAAATAGTCAAGCCAAACCCCTGTAGGTTGCTTTTCCCCTTGCCATTGCTGAGGAGCTGGAGAGCACTGGGCTTTGCACAGACTGTGCTCAGGGCTCACTTTCACTATTCTCCAGGGAGGCAAGGCCAATAAAAAGGCAGAGAAGGTAGAAGTGGAGCCACATGAAGTCCAAGTTTGGCATTAATATTGCCCTTCACTTGGAAGTCATAAAATAAAAAATGTGCCACTGTTCTAGTCTCCCTGGGGCAGTTAGCTGCACAGATCTCTGTTCAAATCTCAGCCGCGTCTCTAGCTGCTTGCGCTGGAGCTAATCACTTTAACCCCTTTTAAGCTTTTGTTTCCTCAGTCATAAACTGGACATCATGATTCACCCTGCTGAGGGTTGTTGAAAGGATTAGAGATGTTGTGAGCTCAGGTGTCTGGCACACGCTCAGTACAGAAGGACTGCAAAGTTTTGGCTGAGACCTATAAATTGCCAGCACATCTGGGCTGGGAAGTCTACAGAGGCTCCTGCAGCCTTGGGCCTCTTAAATTTCCAAGGGGGGAACAGTGATTGAGGGCAGAGAGCAGGCAAATGGCTTAAGATTGTCTAGCACCTGAGGTTTCTTTTTTTTTTTTCCTTTTTTTTGGGGGGTGGTGAGGGGTGGGGGGAATCAGGGATAGAACTCAAGGGCACTCGACCACTGAGCCACATCCCCAGCCCATTTTTGTATTTTATTTAGAGACAGGGTCTCAATGAGTTGCTTAGCATCTTGCTTTTTGCTAAGGCTGGCTTTGAACTTGCGATCCTCCTATCTCAGCCTCCTGAGCTCCTGGGATTACAGGCGTGCACCATTACACTCAGCTCTAAGGGTTCTTGAGGGTCTTGAATCTCAATGAAGAACTTCAGATTCCTGCATGAACTGGAGAGGTGATTGATAGGCTGAGACTGAAGGAGGCCCGAAAGGATGGAATTCCTGGGACAAGATGATTTTGAAAAGGAAGCTGGATAACTTGGGAGAGGTACCTTCTTCCTTAAGTTTTTTTGCCTGTTCCAAGGATGCAGAGATTGTGAAAAAATCCCAGAAACTGGGCATTTTATGACTTTTCTATTGTAAAAACAAAAGAAAAAGCTTCTGGGCAAGTGGTGTGGAGGCCTTCCCTGGCAAGGCTCTGAAGGCTGCTGCGTGACCAGGACTAGAGATGCCTGGCCTGGGGGACTCTCCAAGTTTGGCCTTTGAATTATAAAGGGCACCACAGCCATCAAGAGGCGAGCTGCATGGGGATGTCTCTGGAAACTGGTGTCCAGCAGGAATAGCAAAAGAGGGCCTTGGGAAAGTTCAAGTCCTTGGTGATGATGGTGATGATGACGGTGATGACGGGCACTTCCTATCTGCCAGATTCGAGGCCAAGCAATTTATTTGACACACAATTTTTTCATTCCATATATTTTTTTCTTTTTAAAAAAGTTTGTTCTTTTTAGTTATGCATGACAGTAGAATGTATTTTGACATATCGTACATGGAATATGACTTCCCATTCTTGTGGTGGTACATGATGTAGAGCTGATGTGGAGTCACACTGGTCCTGTATTCATATATGTTTCCTTCAGTGTTTACAAGATCCCTAAGGGGGGGCAGCACCATTGCTGGGATTTTCTCACTAATCTCTGTGTCCTTGGAATAGGCTTGGGGCTGGCAAGGCACTTAGGTGAGAAGGCACCTCACCTGAGTTATCCGGCTTTCTTTTCAAAAGCTTCTTGTTCCTTCCCCACAGGCCACCCTCAGTGACCATTTTAATAGATGGGAAACTGGGTCTCTGAGAGATTAAGTAAATGATCTTTTTAGTTTAAAGTGAAAGAATAACTCCTGGCTAGTTTATACCAAGATTCAAGTTCAAGTTAAGCTATCAGGCTGTAAGTGCTGGGAGGAAGGCAAATAAGTAATGTCAGTGGTCCCTTCAAGGGATTTATATTTATCCCCATTTTTACAGATGAGGAAACAGGACCAGAGAGCTTAGCATTTTCCCTCCTAGGTCAGGCGCTGTGCCAAGCACTTTACATATATTATCTCTTTGATCATCATAACATCCCTATGAAGTAAGTAATTTTATGATCTGCATTTGTATAAAATGAGGAAACCAAAGTCTGAGACCAAATAACTCTCTGGGGTTCAAAACCAGGCAGGGTGACTCCATTGCCCATGCTCTTCACTTCCCGAGCGGCCAACACTGGAACAAGATGCGGCAGGGGGGTTGGACCAGAACCCAGGACTCCGGGACTCCCAGTCCAGTGCTCCAAGGCTAGATGTAGGCTCCTGGTTGGCATGCATTGTTCCTTAAAAGCATGCTGGCCTGAAGCCCAAAGAGTGAAATCACACCCTGCGGTTCTGGGAACCTCAGTCTGGAGAAGAAGGAAGCTCTGGCTCTGCTGTTCAAGTCTGAGCAGGTGAGCTGGGGACTGTTTCCTCCTCTGGCTGGAAAGGAGGCCTTGCTGGCTGGGCAGGGTGGGGCAGTCCTCAAGAGTACAGGGTGGGAATAGGGCAGGAGGCAGGCATGCCCAATAAAACTGGCCTCTGTCTTCCCGCCTTCACCCAGGTGGCATGTCACCTTCTGCCTGGCAGACTGCAGGGCTTAATGACAGAGCTCCAGACTGAAGTCAGGAGGCCTGAGCACTGGTTCTGTACTTCCTGCCATTGTCAGTTTCCTCATCTGTACCATGTGCATGGTGGTGGTGGGGCATCCACGTCCTCCAGCTTTTTCAGAGAACATACTATTTATTAAACACCACTATGAAGATATACCAAACTGCTATGGAAATACACCGAACGCAGAAGCAGATTTGGGGCCTGCTTTCATGGGTCTTAGAGTCTAGGAAGGAGAAACTCAAAGATCATATATCTCAGCTGTGCACATGCCTATAATCCTAGTGGCTCCAGAGGCTGAGGCAGGAAGACGGCAAGTTCAAAGCCAGCCTCAGCAATGGCGAGGCGCTAAGCAACTCAGTGAGAATGTGTCTCTAAATAAAATACAAAATAGGGCTGGGGATGTGGCTCAAATGCCCAGTACCTCTGAGTTCAATTCCTGGCACAAAAATAAATAAATAAATCTGACATCTTCACTGAATCAAACCATAAAGTGGTAAGTGACCAGTATTCAAAGAAAGGCTTCTGGAGCTAAGGGAGCCCATGAGGGAGGGACGGGAGAGATTGGGTTGATAGTCTGAAGGGTGGTGGGAAAAGATGTCCACAAGACGCCTTTACTAGGTGAACAGCTGCTGGGTATAGAGGCCGGTTGTGAGAGGTTTCATCCCAAGAACTGGAAAGCCATCCGGTCTGGGGAAGTTGATGGGAGCCCAGTCAATTGAAGACATTATTGGAAGAGAAGTCATTGATTTTTTTGGGTGGTGGTGATGGTGGTTATTGGGTGACACTGGAAGAGAGAGATGATCGAGTTTAGCGGACTATGGGTCAACGCATTCTTTAAAGAAAGAATAAAAATGCCACCTCCTTCATGGAGCCTCCCTCGATTTCTTTGCCTTTGACTTGTGGTATCTCCTTCCCTCTCTGGTATTGCAGCCGGGTAGACAATCTCAGGCCTTCGGAGCTTTTTTCCTCCTGCGACTGAAGCACATTGTGCTTCAAAGAAGATTCTACGCTTCCTTGAGCCTCAGTTTCCCAAGCTGTGCAGAAGCAGGTTGTCTCGCAGTGCCCGCCCAGCGCTAACGCAACGTGATTCGCTCTGGCAGGAGTGGGGGGCTGCCCGCATTGCTGCGCAGGCATCCGGCTGCTGGCTGGGGCACAGCCACCTGGCTGCGGGTGCTTTTCTCCTTGCTGGGGGCTGCGGGACCCGGTCGAGGTGCCAGACGCTGCGCAGGAAAGTCGGGGTGCGACCCCTGGCTCGCGCGGCCGCTGTGCGGCCCCGCCCCCGCAGCTAGAGGCCCTGCGGCAGCCGGGACCCGAGCTCCGCCCTCCGCCTCCCGCCGGCCTCGCTGCCTCCTCCCTCGCTCGCTCCCTCCCTCCCCCCGGGCCGGCTCGGCGCTGACTCCGCCGCACGCTGCAGCCGCGGCTGGAAGATGGCGGGGAACGACTGCGGCGCGCTGCTGGACGAAGAGCTCTCTTCCTTCTTCCTCAACTATCTCGCCGACACGCAGGTACGGGCAGCCGGAGCCGCAAGCCGGGGCCGAAGTGCCGAGCTGCAGGGGCTGCAGCTGCAGCCGTGAAGGCCGGCATGCAGCGGTGGGCGCACTGGGGAGATCGGGGGTTCCAGGCTGCAGAGCCCCCCTTCTACCGCCTTGCGATGCGCACCGTTACAGGGGTAGGGAAGTGGAGGTCCCCCGGCGCGTGCTGAAGCACTGGGGGCGCACGGCTGCTGGGGAGGGTCTAGCCTGGGCCACCCGGAGTCTGCCCCCCCACCGCTGGCAGATCTGGGGGCACCGCGCCTCCTTGGGGAGGTGGAGCCGCGCCAAGGTGTGAGGGACCCTCAGGCTGGCGCGGGGTGCTGTAGGCGCGCCCTCAGCTCCCGGCACTTGCTGCCGTACTTTCACGTGGACTTGTGGCCCCGGCACCGGCTCTTACCCCCATCCCCGGAGACTCCTTGTCTTCCAGCCTCCGGTCCCCCAAGTGCTGCTGTTGGCCCCCCATAGCTCCCCACCCTCGCCAGCAGCGCGGAGTTTCCTGCCAGTTGCCGGCTAAGGGCATAGGGGTCTGCGGGGCACGTGGGCATGCTGGCGGAGATAGCGCCTTCCTGGTTTCGCTATCCCGCGGAGCCCCCCAGGGGGAAAGCAAGGCAGGATGGGGGAGGAAGGACTGTCTGGGGGCGCCTGGGTCCCCCTGCGGCGCGCGGCCCCGGCGCGCGTTCCTTGATGCGGGGGGAAGGGAAGGCGAGGCGGCGTCCCGGGCTCTGGGTGAGCCCCGGAGCCCCACTGGCGACACGCGCGTGACAGAGAGGGTGCTCTGGTGTACCGGGAGAGGGGGAGGGAGAGTAAGCTGGTGTTTTGGAGACCTGCGGGAGGGTACTGCTGGGACATGCAGTTACGGAAAATGTCTGCGCAAGGCGTGTGCGCCCCCCACCCTTTTCCCCCTTTTCCCCACCCCATGCCTGTTGCCAGTATAAAGTTTGGCTCCAGAGTTGGGGCTTTTTCTGCGGGATCCCGACTGCGGGACACCGGGAGGCTGGGGATGCCGTGGATGCTTGGAGGAGACCCCGGATGCGGGGACACGCCTGGGAGCGGAGAGGGGCCGCCTTGCCGAACCGGGCGCGGCTCGCGGGGGCTGGTTTGGTACCTGGAGTGGGAACGCCGGTGCCGGCCCGTTTTGCATAACACGGGAAGGGAGGGGGAAGACGGAGGGGGGCCGGGAGGTGGGAGGAGAGAGGGAAACTTTGCTTCTTGTTATAATCTGCCAGTCTTTGGGCGGTAGCAGCTGTCATGGGACCGGGTGGGCGGGGAGAGGCTTGCAAGCTGACTCCTTGCGGTGAGACGCGACTTGGAGGGGGACGCAGCAGCTGAGACGTTCGGCTCCCGGTAGACTCCGGGTGGCGACTTGGGGCTGGCGGCTAGGACGGCGCGGCGTCGCGGGGTGTAGCTGAGAAGAAGCCCGCCGCGCGCGGGAAAAGGCCGGTCTTGGCCCTCTGCAGACACCGCTGCGTCCGGGGCCCTGTGGTCGGTGGCAGGCGCTGTGGGTTGGGTTCTCGGCAGAAGCCTAAGGGGCTGGTGGCGTGTGATCGCGCTTCTCCAGGTCGTGGGGAGTGTTTGGTAAGCGGGCTGTGCGCGGGTGTGTGTGTGTGTGTGTGTGTGTGTGTGTGTGTGTGTGCACACGCTGCGCGCGCCAGGCGCGTACCTTTACCTCTGACGAAACTGCGGTGGAGCTCCCGCCGCCGTCGCCGGGCTCCGTCACACGCCCCGCGCCAGTGTCTGCGCCGAAGGCGGGTCCCAGCCTCAGGACCTCCTGAGACGTTAGTCTGGGACTATAAGGACTGGGCTGGAGACGGTAACAGTGGGGAGCGGCCTCTGGGAAGACGCTGCCCCCCCCCACCATCTCGCACTTGCCTGGGGTCTTTTCTAACCCTCTACACTTAGACACCGGTGAGGGAGGCCTGAAATAGACTAAGACTGGAGCCGGGATTCTCCGCAAGGACTGTCCGGTCTGGACGTGGGTTTTAACTCCATCTTCATTGGCTCACCAATAATTAATTATTTGCCCTTTCAGCTGCCAGTTAGACTACCCAGCAGGACTATTTAACCCAAGGAAACTAGAAAATTGGGTAATCAGTTGTCAGCAGAAGCAGTGCAGTGAAAGTTAATCTGGGACGTTTGCTTTTTTTTTTTTTTTTAACCACGTGACAGGCCGAGGATCTTATGATGATCTTTGCCGGCCCAACTTGGGAAATGTAATTGATAGGACGAGCTTTGCTGTCACCCTTAGAAGGCGCAGAGAGCCCAGCCGGAAGAGGACCTGGGCGGGCCTTCGCGCGCCTCCTCATTTTACAGTTGGGGAAAGAGGCTCCGAGGAGTGAGCGGTTTGTACAGGACCACTCAGCCAGCGGGTGACAGAGCCACCCAGGGCTCCTGACTCCAGGTCCTGTGTGTTACCTCGAAATAGCACTGGACTTGGAGTCAGAAGGCCTGAGTGGAGTCACCTTCCCCACTCTCTGGCTGGGTGACCCCGGAGCAAGCCATTGTAACTCTGGGAGCCTCCATTCCTCCCTCTGTCAAATGGGACTTGGTACCTGCAAGAGAATCCAATGACTGGTGGTGGGGGTGAGCAATGTTTGCATGTGAAATGTCTGGTTGTTCCTACAGCCCCTTCTTCCTCACAACCCTTCCTAAACTCTTCCCTTCTCTGTCTCTTGCCTTGGGAGGGTTGGGGAAAGTGGATAAAAATGTGATTCATTCATTGTCCTGTCCAAAAGATTTCTGTTGTCTTTAATGTCTAACCTGGGGCTAAATTAGAGGGAGAACTTCTGTTTAGGATAGACTCAACTTTTACCCATTGGGGCCAAAGTACAAAAATTTAGCAGAACAAGGATTGTGAAAGTTTCTTGGAAAGGTTTAAAGAATGCATCTCAAAGGACTTTGGGCTGGTTTCACCTTTGTTCAGGCTGTGCCCCTTGCTGGGAGTGCCTTGCCCACCTATCCTGCATGGCCTTCTCCTCTAGCAGGCCTTCCTGGCCCTGCTTGCCCTGCTTTCTCTCCTGGTTTTTATTGCTTTTTACAACTAAGCACTTTATTGTATGAGTCCTGTGTCCAGTAAGATTTTAGATGCTAGAATTGTGCCTTTTAATTCTTTGAGCTGGCATGACACCTGTCAGCGTTATGAGCCCTGTTCTTTGCTCAGCTCTTGGCTAGGCACATGGATTGCACACAGGGGCACAGCTGGGCCCTGCCAAGAAGAAGCTCCCAGGCTGACAGGGGAGACAGCTGGGCAGCGAGTGCAGGGAGAAAGGAATGCAGAGGCTGCAGCTGAGGGCAAAAGCCTACACTAAATATAGGTTGTTTGAAGTCACTTGGGGCATCAGTCCTGGAGGCCCAAAATGTCAGAGATGGCAGGAACTTTATAAATCATCTAGTCCAACACCTTACTTAAAAATAATTATAGAATTGTTAAAACATTTTTTACTGCTAAGGATTAAGAAAAAAATAGATGTGTAAAAATAATATGTAACAATTATCCAAAGATAATCACTGTTAGTTTCATATACATATTTCCATACTTTTTTATTTCCTACTCATATTGGCCACTTCTTTAAACAAATAAAAATTTTTAAAAAAGAGTCATTCATTTGTTTATGCCAATTTGTAACTTGGACTCACCCTGTTTTATAACTTGCCTTTTCCCCTCTAAACAGTATGCTGTGAACATTTGTCCACATCAATAAATATTTTACTTAATATCTTGATATCTTAATGGCTATATGTATTTCATTGGTTTTCATTGTATTCAACGAATTATTTTTATTTTTGCTTATTCAAGTTGTTCACCATTTTATTTTATTTGCTATTGTAAGCAATACTGAAATGAGTATCTTTGTGTGTATGCCTTCTTTCCTTTGTTTAAATTCCTAGAAGTGAAATTACTCCATCAAGGGAACTATGCAGGCATTTGATAAACATACATCTGATTGCCTTCTAGAAAGATTGTACTCATTTACACACTCCCCATCAGTGTGTGGGAATGCTGTTTATCCATACCCAGATAACTCTTGGTATTTGCATTTTTACCAGTCTGTTCATCAATAAATTGGCATCCTTCTTGTTTTAATGTGTTTTTGTTGGATAATTTGTGATGCTGAGCTTTCCCTGATAGGATCATGGCCATTTGTGGTTCTATTACAAGCAAAGTTTTGTTTGTGAACTTGGTGCATTTTGCAATTGGTATCTGTCTCTGGGTTCTAAAGCTAGAACTGAACACCCAGAAGGGGCCCTTGCCTCTGGAAGGAAGACTTGGGAGAATGATTCGAAGTCCTCGTGCCTCCTTGCTAGGTCTGGAATATCACTGCCTCCACAGCCCTGCAAGCCAGGGCCAACCTGCCAAGTCAGGGTTCTTGCCGTGCATAGCAGCAGGTTGAAGTGTAGCCCTGGTTGGCTGTATTTGCCCACACTTTGTCTGCATGAGATCAGAGGAAGGAATTTCTTCACCTGAGCTCAGCTAGGAACACTTTCCCCAGGGACCTCAGCTCTACTTTCCCTGGGCTCCCTGGCTGGTGCTAATGATCAGGGTGCCTAAGAAACCCAGGAAAGCTGCCGGGCCCTGGAGGCTCATATTTCCTCTTCACCTTGGGGCCTTCCTCTCTCCAGCTGGTGCAGGCCAGCCTAGAGCTCCACTAGTTCATGGTGGTATGAGTCACCTTTTTTTTTTTTTTTTCCCCTGAAATAATAGAAGGAATACTGGCCTGAGTCAGAAGCAGCCTTGCAAATGGGCCTTGGGCTTGGAAGTGAGGTCACGACAAGAACATTGCAGCATGCAGGGCTGTCTTCTCCTTCATTGTCACCATCAGCCACAGTTGTTGAGCATCCTCCAGATCACTGCACTCTGCCGAGCCTTTTGTTTGCACTGTTCTATTTCATTCTCACAAAGATGCTGTACAGTATAGGTGCTCTTTTACAGTTTTATAGATTTCACAGTTTGAGAGAACTCACTGAAGAGTACCTGC